TAAACCACTAGAAAATTGATTAATGGACAGTTGGCCACTAGAACAATTTTCCACTAGAAAACTAACCACACAGAGTCAAGGAATAAAAAATATCTCCAAATGACAAAATGACAAGCGATCAACGAACCGAATAATAACGCTATGTCAGAAGTGCAAAGCAATAATGATATAATCTTCTTCGTTCTTTTTCATGACAAGCAGCCCGTGCGACACAACTCACTCGGGGTGGTAGAAGGAAACGAGCAAATGGTTGGCAAGCTGCTTCACGAAGTAAAGCCGAAGATGATACCTACACGTGTGTTAATGGGATTTTTTTGTTATGTCTTTTCTCGATTCATATTAAGCTATGTCCTCATCATGTATATTGCAACAAAGCAGGCAAGCAATATATCATTATCCATCTACCACTCGGATCGAGCTATGTTACAGAGCGAGTTTGTCATGGTCGTAGCAACCGTTTTGTCTGTATCGTTGGTAGCTTTATGTGTTTGGATTCGCTGCACATAGTACTAGAACATTAACTAGAAAATTAACTGGATCTGTCAGTTTAGGGCAATAATTGACGAATAAAAGCTTCAAAATGGAAGATTTACCAATTGAAGTTTTAACGCTGGAAAATTACCCAATGATTTTATGATTTTCCCGTTTTCTGATTTTCTGCATTTCTGATTTTCTGATTTTCTGATTTTCTGATTTTCTGATTTTCTTGTTTTCTAATTTTATGATTTTCTGCATCTCTGATTTTCTGATTATCTGGTTTTCTGATTAACTGATTATCTGATTATCTGATTTTCTGATTTCTTAATTTTCTACTTTTCTTAATTTCTGATTGTCTGATTTTCTACTTTTCTGAATTTCTGATTTTCTGAATTTCTGGTGTTCTGTTTTTTTTCTGATTTTCTTACTGATTTTATGATTTTATGATGTGCGGATTTTCTGATTTTCTAATTTTATAAATTAAGTATTTTTTAATTTTCAGATTTTCGTATTTTCAGATATTTAGAATTTCAGACTTTTATATTTTCTGATTTGCTGATGTCCAGATTTTCTGATCTTCAGAATTTGGGAATTCCTGATTTTTTGATTTTCTGATTTTCGGATTACCAGATTTTTTTTATTTTTATGATTTTCTGATTTTCTGATGTATCGATTTTCAGATTTTCAGATCTTTAGAATTTTTGATTCACGGATTTTCTGAATATTTGATTGTCTTATTTTCTGATTATCTAATTTTCTGATTTTATGATTTTCTGATTTCTTAAATTTCTACTTCTCTGAATTTCTGATTTTTCGGAATCTCTGATGTTAGAATTTTCTGATTCTCAGTTTCAAAATTTTAAATTACTGATTTTATGATTTTATGATGTGTGGATTTTCTGATTTTCTGATTATGTGATTTTCTTATATAAATGAACCAAGGATTTTATAGTTTTAAAATTTTCAGATATTCAGATATTCAGATACTAAGATTTTCAAATTTTCAGATTTTCAAAAAAGGTGCCCAGATTTTCTGATTTTCAGAATTTGGGGATTCGTGATTATCAGATTACCTGATTTTTTGATTTTCTGATTTTTTTATTTCTTGATTATCAAAAGTTTCTGATATCTGAATTTTCTGATTTTCTGGCAATCTAACTTTCTCATTTTATGGTTGTCTTATTGTCTTATTTTCTGATTATTTGATGTTTGGATTTTCTAATTTTCAGATTTTAAGAATTACAGAATTTTTTGATTCACGGATTTTCTGAATTTTTGATTGTCTTATTTTCTGATTATTTAATTTTCTGATTTTCAGATTTCTTAATTTTCTACATTTTTGAATTTCTGATTTTATGATTTTCTGATTTCTTAAATTTCTACTTCTCTGAATTTATGATTTTTCAGAATCTCTGATGTTAGAATTTTCTGATTTTCATTTTCAAAATTTTTAAATTACTGATTTTATGATTTTATGATGTGTGGATTTTCTGATTTTCTGATTATGTGATTTTCTTATTTAAATGAACCAAGGATTTTATAGTTTTGAAATTTTCAGATATTCAGATATTCAGATACTTAGATTTTGAAATTTTCAGATCTTTAAAAAAGGTGTCCAGATTTTCTGATTTTCAGAATTTGGGGATTCCTGATTTTCGGATTACCTGATTTTTTGATTTTCTGATTTTATATCTTGATTATCAAAAGCTTCTGATATCTGAATTTTCTGATTTTCTGGCAATCTAACTTTCTCATTTTATGATTGTCTTATTGTCTTATTTTCTGATTATATGATGTTTTGATTTTCTGATTTTCAGATTTTAGAATTTCAGAATTTTTTGATTCACGGATTTTCGGAATTTTTGATTGTCTCATGTTCTGATTATCTGATTTTCTGATCTTCTTTTTTTTCTGAATTTCTGATTGTTTGATTTTCTGATTTTCTTATTTTCTGAGGTTCGGATTTTCTGATTTTTTTATTCTAAAATTTTCAAATCTACAGATTTTTTTTTATTTTCTTATGCCCGGATTTTCAAAATTTCTTATTTTCTGATTATCTGATCGGCTAATTTTCTGAAAAAAATAAAAATAAAAAAAGAAAAATAAATGAAAATTTTGATTTCATGATTTCTAGAATTTCTGAATTTTAAATTGTTTGATTTTCAAATTTTCAGATTTCCTGAATTTATTTTGTTATGTTTCCCTAGTAGCAAGCTTGTCAAAAATCAATTGTAGGAACTTATATACGTCTTATTTCAGACATAAACAAGTTACTATAACTTATTGTGATGAAAGTGTGCTACTGGGTTATATGTTCTGATTTCCTGATTTTCGGAATTTCTGAATTTCTGATTATATGATTTTTTTTATTTTCTGACATTCGGATCTTCTGGTTTTCTGATTTTATGTTTTGCTGTTCTGATTGTCATTTTTTTTATTTCTGGTCTTCTGATTGTCTGATTATATGATTTTGTGATTTTCGGATCTTCTGATTTTATGATTTTCGGATCTTCTTATTTTCTGGTTTTCTGATTTTTTGATTTTCTGATTTTCCAATTTTCTGATATGCTGGTTTCTGATTTTCTGAATTCCTAATTGTCAGAATTTCAGATTGACTGATTTCCTGGAGGTCTGATTCTGATTTTCAGATGTTCTGATTTCCTGGTTTTCTGATTTTCCAATTTTCTGATATGCTGGCTTTTGATTTTCAGATTTCCTGATTGTCTGAATTTCAGATTTTCTGATTTTCTGATATTCTGATTTTCTGATTTTCTGATCTTTAATTGTCTGATTCTCTGAATTTCTGAATTTCTGAATTTTTGATTTTCTGGTTATCTGATTTTCTTATTTTCGGATATTCGGATCTTCTGGTTTTCTGATTTTATGTTTTTTTTCTGTTCTACCTATTTTCTAATTTTTAGATTTTTTATTTCTGGTTTTCTGATTTTGTGATTTTCGGATCTTCTTATTTTATGATTTTCGGATCTTCTTATTTACTGGTTTTCTGATTTTCCAATTTGCTGATATGCTGGTTTCAGATTTTCTGATATCCTGATCGTCAGAGTTTCAGATTTTCTGATTTCGTGAATGTCTGATTAACTGATTTTTTAGATTTTCAGATCTTTTGATTTTTTTTTTCTGATTTTCTGAATGTCTGATTATCTGATTCTTTAGATTTTAGATTGTAAGATATTCTGATTTTCAGATGTTCTGATTTCCTGGTTTTCTGATTATCTGATTTTCCAATTTTCTGATCTGACTTCTGATTTTCAGATTTTCTAAATTTCTTTTTTTTTCTGATCTTTAATTGTCTGATTCTGATTTTCAGAATTTCTGAAATTCAGATTTGCTGACTTCCCAATGAAAAGATTAAATTTTATTCATGATCCCATTGTTACAAGCACCTAATTGTTGATTACCAGCAGCACTCATATTCAACATAACTTAATTCAAACTCGTTTTAATAACATCACTCATTCATCATCCGACATTATAAGTATTCACAGCCCACCTCTCCATCCAAATTAAGAGCGATCAATAACGATTATGATTTCACCATCATTTCACAATTGCAGTGAGACCATTTTCTTAAGTATTCAAAGAGGCCAGCGAGATCCGCCATAATCACCGCCATCATCAGCGAAAAAGCACTTAAGGAACAGAAGAAGGACTAAAAAATCATTTCTTTCTAGCATTATCCACCCCCCCACCCCCCTCCCACCCACACTCCAGTCCCCACACCATCATCCAAATGTCTTCTTTTAAAATGCTGCCACCATCATTAGAATCACGATTAAAATAATTGAATTTCAGCAATTACAATTCCAGATAACGACCCACCCACTCACCTTCGCTTCGCACCCTCCGTACTACCTACTAAAACTTGCTTTACCTTTTCCCCTTCATATTTTTCTGTTCTTTTTATGGCACTGATTTCCATCGACTTTTGCAAGAAAATTAAAAAAAAAAGCATCTCAAAGGCGAAGGCTAAACCTTTTTCCTTATCTCTGGCTTTCTTGTCTTTTCTCTCTCGTTTCTGCTTTCCCTCTCGTCTAATTCTCGATTTGAACACGTTTGTTGAACCAAACAAACGAACCACGCAAAAAAAAAACTCTTGGTTGGGACGTACGGAACCGAAAAAATATGCAGTGGTTGCCCAGAATGGTAAAAAACGGCAGAATTTTTAATTTTCACATCCCTGTATTTGTCCCCCCTTGTCCCGGAACCAGTTGAAAGAAAAACCAGCACACTCTCATTCCGTAGCGTAGGAATACAACTCACATTTTATCGTTTTCAGTTCTGTGGCGAGTGGTTTAGTTTCTTTTATTCCTATAGTTTTAGAATGAAAACAAAAGACGATTCCATTTTCCATCAATTTGTTAGGTTATGGTTTTTGTGTGCCTTTCATAAACTGTCCTTATTTACGATCATTTGATTATTGCCTCCCCTTCCATTTAGTTGGTAAGCCGAAGAAAAGCGTGAAAATCTGATCTGGAAATCTCCTTATTTCTTATTCCACACAGCTGCGGATGGGAGCACTTAACGAACCATTCCCCGGTGACATGCAGGGCATCCGCGGAGCCGATTACAACTGCTACCGGCAAGCGCGGCGGGCCGGTCTCCTGGGGACATTCAGGGCGTTCCTGTCGTCGAGGTAAGTCCGTTTACTTTTTTTTTTGTCCATAGAGAAGCAGGACGAAGTAGTTAACATCACTCTAAATATCAATTGAAAAGCATGAAATGCTAGTGAAACCCTTTTCAAATGAATACCTCTAGAGATTTACCACATTGTGAAAAAAAATCACAGTGTTCAGATTAACGACAATAGAGTGGTTAGTCAAGACACTATTAAACACCACAAAGTTTTTTAAATATATAATGGTACAATGTGTGTCAACCTTACAATAAATATATCCTGACGTACAACAATAGAGAGAGAGAGCACATGCTCTGCTTCACGCGAACAATATTTGCAGTCTGATAAGCGAATGATGTAACTCTATCAACTCAGTAATGAAATGCAGCCTGCGATAACATGATCTTCAGCTCACAAAGCAAAAATGTTTGCTACTAGGCCATCGATCCCCTTACATCGCATGACGAACGTTCAAGCCCGCCGACATGAAGCTAGTTAAATAGAATCAGAATGATGTCGGTCTTATTAATTGAGTGGGATAGGTTACAGTTTCGAAGTTTCGGCTTGTATATGGGGCACTCAATCAAAATATGATCGATGGATAGTAGGAATCCACACGTATCGCAGTCTGGTTAGGGACAACAATGCCCAGCCCTTCTACCAGTTTTCAGTTCATTCTCAACAATGCCGACCATGTCCAGTTGATTCTGGAGCATCTGTTCCGGACATCCGTAATTCCAATGCAGCTTCTCAATGAATGGCCCTCTAATCTAACTCGGGAAGATGCAATTGACCAGCTAGAGAATATCATCTTCCTGAGATTCCTACAATCGTACTTTCGTTTTCGTGGTTCATGTAGTCATAGGCTTCCTTGACGTTTTGTAGGCTGCGAAAAACAAGGGCCTTAAAAGTGGGCCATTATTACAAACCCCTACTCGTCTCATTCGATTTGTATTGAGTTCCCCAAAAACTGTGATAAGTATGATCGAATTTGGTGATCTGGATTTGCGGGAAAAATTCAAAGTTAGTGTGCGAAAATGTATGGAAAACGGAATGAAAATAATAAATTCGAAATAAATAACGTGAGTCCCATTCAAGGGCTTCTTCAGGAGCTGAAACCTTCCTAGGGATGCTGATTCTTGTAACAGCATTGCGGATGGTCTTAACACTGTCAGAGATGAATCCAAAATTGTAGAGTAGCTCAATGAACTTCAGAGAAGTTCTTGGAACAACTTTAGGAAAGTTCCAAGCATATTTCGGAAAATGTAAAGAACTTCAGGGAAGATCAGAGAATTTCGGGGCAGTTCCATTAGCTTCAAGAAGTTTTCTGAAAAATCAAGGAAGTTCTAAAAATTCTTGGAAGTTTCGAAAGTTTCACAGAAGTTCAGAGAAGCTTACAGATTTCCGTGAATTTAAAGGCAATTCCGAGAACTTCACCACAGTTCCAAGAACTTCTGGAAAATTGCGAAAGCTTCAGAGAAGATTTAAAAAGTTCAAAGAAGATTTAAATTCTTCAGGAAAGATCATGCTGTAGGCAGAAGGAAAATTTAAAGAATTTTAAAGAAGATCCGAGAACATCAGACAAGTCCACAGATCTTCAGGGAGATTCAAAGATCGATAAGTAAGTTTTGAGAACATCAGGAAAGTCCACACAACTTCATGGAGGTCCAGAAAATTTCACGGATGTCCGGAATTCTGAGGAATTTTAAAGATTGTTATAAGCTAGTTCTTTATAGGGTCTTCTTTAGCTCAGTACGTAAGGGCATAGCTATAAAACAAGACCATGCTGAAGCCGGTTGGGCTAGATTCTTGGACCGGTCTAAGAATTTTTCGAGTTGGAAAATTTTTTGACTTCCCTGGGCATAGAGTATTATCATAGAGGTAACTCTAAGACCAGAAGGTCCCGAAGAAACACGCTTTTTGGCTCAGCTCTGGTACTATCTTCGGTCCCAAGCTAATCGATGCACCCCTCGAAACATAGGAAAATCCACCAACCCCTCATTATTTCGACTAGAATGAGGTACGTTAATCGGTTTGCTTGGGACCAATAGGCTAGTCAAGTAGTGAGCCAATTTAAAATCGTTAGTTTCCACCGGTTGGTATTATTGTACTTGCCAAATACTATACTTATTTTAAAATGGTACAGGCTTAGAAAACTCTCAATTAATAGCTGTGGAAGTGCTTAACGAACACTGAGTTGAGAGTCTGAGTAAAGTGCCAATTGGGGACGTAATAAGCAAAAGAAGAGGGATGGGTTAGTTTTGCGAACTTCACGGAAATTCCATGAGCCTGAGATCTTCACTCCTAAATCAGAGATGCCAAGGGCAGTTCCGCTAACATAAGGAGAGTTTCAGAAACTTTTTAGAAGTTCCAATATTTTTAGGGAAGCCTAGATGAATCCAGGAAAGTATAAAAAAAACTTTAGTAAAAATTCCGGAACACAGAAATTCCGATAACTTTATTAAAGTTCATAAAGCTTCAAGGCAGTTGCATATACTTTAAATTTTTTAGAATGTTAAAGATGTTTTGAGAGCTTTAGGGCATTACCAAGAACTTCAGCAAAAATTCGAGAACTTCACCAGTTCCATTAATTTTGATAAAATGCAGGAACTTTGAAGAAGTTCAGAGTACTTCAGAGAAATTAAGAATATTTTAAAACAGTCTGCAGGCATGGCAGGCACTTTAGGGAAGTCCCAAGTAATTTTGAACAATGGCGAGAACTTCCTGGAAGTCCCAATAACATAAAGCCGAGAAGTTCACGGATGTTTAGAGATTTTAATGGAAGTTACGTGAAGCTCAGGGCGGTTTTGAAAACATCAGAAAATTTATGGAGAAGGAAAATTCCGAGTACTTTAGGGGTGGTTCCTCGAAGTATTTACGTTCAATTCTCTAAAGATCTGTAATCTTTGATAAAGTTTTTCCTGAAGTTCTCGGAACTTCTTTAAAAATTTTCCTGACGTTAATGGAACTGCCTAGAAGTTCTCTGACGATCCCTGAAGTTCCCGCAACTTTCCTGAAATTCTCTAAGCTTCCCCGAAAATCTCGGAACGTCTTGAATTTCCCCGAAATTTTCCAGAAACTTAGAAAACTACCCTGAAAATCCATGTTCTCATAACTTTCCTACAACTTCTGTAACCTTCCTGTGCTTCATGATCATGGAACTGCACTGAAGTTCTCGAAATTTCCGTTACATCCCTAAACATTTTCAAGATTCTCCATAGAATTTCCAGGAAATCCCGAGAACTTGTTTAGAGTTTAGGGCTCGTCCTTACCGTAAACTTCAGAGCAGTTTCAACAACTTCTGGAAACTAATGGAAACTTTTAAGATGGAAAATTCCGAGAACTTCAGGGGTGATTCCAAGAAGTATTCATGTTTACTTAAATATCTATAAACTTTCGAGAATTTTTCTAAGCTTCTCCGAAGATCTGGGTTTTGACAATTTTCCTGAAACTAAATAAACTGTCCTAATGATCCAAGTTCTGATAACTTTCCTACAAATCCTGTAACCTTCCAGATCTTCATGATCAATGAACTGCCCTGAAGTTCTCGAAACTGATCCGAAATTTCCGTTACCTCCCTAATTATTTAAAATTCTATAAAGTTTCCTGGACTTTCCGGAAGATCTCGGAAGATTATAAAACTTTTAATTTTAGAAAATTTTAGGAATTATGAAGCAGTTCAGAGTACTTGAGAGGAATTCAGAAAATTTACGAAAAGTTCTGAGACCTTCAGAGGAGTTTCAAGCACATCTGAAAATGACGGAAAGTTTAGGGAAGTCTCAGGAACTTCCGATTTTTGTTTAATATCATGAAAGTCCCGAGAAGTTCACGGATGGTTAGAGTTTATAATAGATGGTCCATAAACTTCAGGGCAGTTTCAAAAACTTCTGGAAATTTTTTGTTGTTTTTCGGATCTTCTGATTTCCTGATTTTCGGATCTTTTTATATTCTGGTTTTCGAATTTTTTGATTTTCTGATCATCTGATTTTCCAATTTTCTGGTATGCTGGTTTCTGATTTTTTAGATTTTCAGATCTTTTGATTTTCTGATTTTCAGGTGTTCTGATTTCCTGGTTTTCTGATTATCTGATTTTTCAATTTTTTGATATGCTGACTTCTGATTTTCAGAATAATCTCAATTTCAGATTTTCAAATCTTCTGATTTCTGATCTTTAATTGTCTGATTCTGGTTTCCTGATTTTATGAATTTCTGAATTTTTGATTTCCTGATTATCTGATTTTCTTATTTTCTGATATTCGGAATTTCTGGTTTTCTGTTTTTATATTTTTCTGTTCTTCCTATTTTCTGATTGTCATATTTTTTATTTCTGATTTCCTAAATGTCTGATTTACTGAATTTTTAGATTTTCGAATCTTCTAATTTTCTGATTTTCAAATGTTCTGAATTCCTGGTATTCTGATTATCTGATTTTCCTATTTTCTGAAATGCTGGCTTCTGATTTTCAGATTTCCTGATCGCCTGAATTACAGATTTTTAGATTTTCTGATTTTCTGATCTTTGATTGTCTGATGCTGGTTTTCTGATTTTTTGAATTTCTGAATTTCAGATTTGCTGACTTCCTGATTGAAAAGATTATCTTTTATTCATGATCCCATTGTTACAAGCACCTAATTCTTGATTACCAGCAGCACTCATATTCAACATAACTTAATTCAAACTCATTCATCATCCAACATTATAAGTATTCACAGCCCACCTCTCCATCCAAATTAAGAGCGATCAATAACGATTATGATTTCACCATCATTTCAAAATTGCAGTGAGACCATTTTCTTAAGTATTTAAGTTTAAGTCATTCGTGACTTGTCCGGGGATGAGATTTGAACTCGTGACTTTGGCGTGAGAGGTATGGCTGCTAACCACTACGCCGGGGTCGCCCCCATCTTCATGATCAAAGAACTGCCCTGAAGTTCTCGAAACTGATCCGAAATTTCCGTTACCTTCCTAAAGATTTTTAAAATTCTATAAAGTTTACTGAACTTTCCAAAAGATCTCGG